TCCTTTGTTTTCAGAATCTCTCATGAGAAGTTTCAGATAGCAGCTGGAACAACCCTGGTTAGGACTGTGGGAGAGCCCAGTGTGGGCACATCCTTCTGCAGGCTTCTTTGATGTTGTGTCACTGCAGGTGCCAAGGGCTGAGCCTCGGTCACCGGTCACCAGTGTGAGCCTCAGCAGGACCCACCAGCGAGGAGCGTTCTTCAGCTCTTCCCCTTGGTGAAGGATTGTGAGATGCAATCTGCACTCTGAACTTGGGACCACTGGCCTTGCCTTCTGTGCTACCTCATCCCCCATCACACTGCTCCTTGCACACCAGCTCCTGGCTCTGTTCAAACACTGAACAAGTGTGTCCAGCCCCACACTTGCCTCTACACCTGTTGTGCTCCCATAGGAAATGTGAACCCCACAGGTGGCCCTGCAGCCTGCTCCTTCCTGTCGCTCCATCTTGGCACTTGAAGGTGGCACCTCCTCAGAATGCTCTCCCTGATCTGCCTGCCCAAAATGATGTGCCAGTACTCTCTGCCCCTTGGCTCTGCTTCCTGAGCATCATGTAATGCCAAAGCATAAATTTCAGAGGAGTCAGAGCAGGACTCTCCCTCAGGTGTCTGGAGGGTGGGGTTGGGGTAGATGCGTTTAACTCACTGGTGAGGGACTCCATGAGATGACAGAACTGGCTCAAAGGGGAGCTGAGAAAATTGTGCAAATACGGAGCTGGGGTAAGATGGTAAAGTGGGATACTTAATGTCCTATAGGAAATAAATCAGCCTGCCACCTTCAGGATTATCTCTTCTGCCAGACAGAAATCTTTGCAAGACAAGAATCCCTGGCAGCTTATCCTCCCTCTGTAAGTTAACAGTTAACCCTTTCGAGTCCGGGGCCTGATCCGTAGTATCAGCAACCCAGACAGAAGTTCCTCTGCCAGCGCAACGCTGTCCTAAAGGACTTTCTCCAAGGACAAGATCATTGTGTCTGCACCATCCAACAGACCTCAACCCAAGTGAGCCATTCTAAATGTAGGGTGAAACATACAATTTGCATGAGGCAAATTCAATCTTAATTATGCTATTATATATGAATCATAGTGATCATTATATTAATAAAATGAAAAATAACTGAATGTCTAGCTATACTCCATTGAATTGATTAGTGGGAAGCTAAGAAAGGCTTTGTGGTCAATTGATGGCCTTGCTTTAGAAAATCAGCCAGTGTCTAGGCAGTGGTTGAAAGGGCCTTATTCTCTCTTCTTTAAAAATTATAATTAGACAAGATATTTTAAGAGCCAGTGCTTTGGCATAATAGGCTAAACCTCTGCCTGTAACATATGCCGACATTCCACATGGGCACAGGTTGAAGTCTTGGCTGCTCCATTTCTGAGTCAGCTCCCTGCTAGTGCACATGGAAAAGCAGTAGAGGAGAATGGCTCAAATGCTTGGGCCCCTGCATCCGTGTGGGAGACATGGGAGAAGCTCCTGGCTTCAGGCTGGCACAGCAGCAGCTGTTGCAGCCACTTGGGGAGTAATCCAGCAGATGGAGAATCGATCTCTCTCCTGCTTGCTGTCTCCTTGTCTCCCTCTCACTGTAGTTCTGTTTTGCAAATAGATAAATAAGCCTTTAAAAGAACATTTTAAAAAAGCAAAGATGTTTTAGACCTTTTTTTTTAGCACATATCACTCTTATGAATACTTGAAAATTAAAATGCTAGCAAGATTGGTTAGCACATGTTTACAGTCATAACTATATCATTTCCATCCATTCTGGTTTCAGAAAAGGTAAAATATTCAGAAGTGACGCCCCCTACGCTTGCACAGAATGGCCCGATTTCCCACGCTGTTGAAGTTCACGTATTTATTCCTGCTTTTCATCATGCAGATACTTGTTCCTGAACACTTAGAAAAAACTTCTAAATGTGTCTGCTGAAAATTTAGTCTGGTCGATTTTTTAATTGAATTTTTGTTCTTTTTGACTTGATAGTTGGGAGTGGAGCAGTAGATTCAACCTGCAGTTGGCGAGCCCAAGATCAAGTCCTCCACTTGATTCCTGATCCTATACTGCACCTTGGGAGGTAGCAGATTTAAGCCCAGGTGCCTGGGTCCCTGCCCTCCATGTAAGAGGCCTGGATAAAGTTCATAGCTCCTGGCTTTGGCCTGACCCAGCCCTGATTGTTGCAGACATTTGGGGAATGAATCAGTAGATGTCAGATCTCTCTCTCTCTTGCTGTGTCATTGTGCCAATGTCACAGCAAAGCCAGGGACATAGTATCCCATAACACACATATAATGCATTCAGTCTATGGGCCTGACTTAGCCTCTGTGTCTGGGGATATTCAAGGGAAGAATAGGAAGAGAGGGTGAGGATGTGGTGCCCCCCTGACCAAGGAATGTGACATGAGTTTGCACCCTGGAGAAAGTAAAGGCAGCTGAGGTGGACACAAGGTCAGGGGGAGCCCTGCCCCCTGCACTGTTGGGCAGGAGATGCCTGCGTCAGGCTGCTGTGGAGCTGCTGGCATGGAGCTCAGCAGGAGATCATCTGTGCTGTGGATGCGAACATTCCAACAGATCATGTCGCACTGTGAGAATTGCCTGATTCCCCGGTGCAAGTGTGTCTTCTTGGCCCGTTGTGGTCCTGCTGACTGCACGATGATGATGGCCAAATAACCGAGCCCCTGCCACTCATGTGGGAAACCTGGATTGAGTTTCTTGCTCCTGATTGGCTCAGACCTTTCCAGCACGGGCATTTTTAACATCTGGGGAGTGAACCAGCAGTTGGGAGCTCTCTATGTCTACCTCTCTGTGACTCTCAAATAAATTAGTGCTACTAATTAAATACTAAGAGTGAAGCCTGAGGCATCTATAGATACTCTGGGGCAGTAGGCCTGCCAGGATGGACTGGCAGCAGTAAAAACAGTTCTAAAACCCTCAGGGCTAATGTAGTAACTTCTCAGAACCCTGTGCTGGCCTTATAGGACCCCACCTGGTAGGACAGTCAGCACTGGTCTGGGCTGTTCCCTGAGGCTGCAGGGGACCCAGGCTGCCATTGGCTGTTATTGCCTGGGGACACTCTGCCCCCTACTTGCACCCTGGGTTTTCCTTGTTTCTCCCCCTTTCCACCTGGCAGGAGCCCCTCCCATAGCTGAGCTGAAGGGGGTCCTTGGAAGTCACCCTCCCCATCACTTTCCAGCTGGGACTTGGGCTGGGGCCATATCACAATAGCCAGGCAAGCTGGGCCAGAGCTGGTTCTGAGGCCTGAGGCTTCTGAGACAGCAGTGGGAGTGAAGTAGGGATGAGGGAGGGGCGTGGGGGTGAGGGATGGGTGCAGGGCAGGTGAGGTTAGAGCGGTAATGAATTTTCAGGTTTCAGACTCTCCTCCCTGCCCTCTAACCACTCACCTTATCTCTTCTTGTCTCCTCTGTCTCAGCTTATTAGGGATGTGGGCCTAAGGAGACAACCACAAGATGCCATCATCCAATCAACTTTGGAGCAACTCTTGGCTCCTGTCCTGATCCCAGCTTCCTCCAAGCCAGGAAGAGAACCCATGCCAGGTTTCCAGTCTGGTCATCTCCCTGCACAGGCCAGGCAATCTGGATGACTTTTTCCTGGTCGGGGAGAAGTAAGTAACTCTGAACAGTAGGCGCGAGACACCCTCTGGGGGTGGAACTTGGTCAGACTGGAGCTTCCAGCACCATGGAGGACACACCAACTGCTGTGGGTTAAGATGGGGCCTTCTGGGGTTTTCACAGTGTTCTCTGAGATTGGCACCAATGCAGTGGCTGACGTGGATGGGAGGGTACGTTTGGGTCTCTTCCTACAGGAAGTCTCCCAAACTTAACTTTAAGTTTCCTGGCAGCAGAGGAAAAAAACTCAGAAGGTGCTTGGTTCCCTCAGGATGCTTTTGGTTGCCATAGAAACAACTTAAGCAAGCTTAGGCTAAGGGAAAGGTGGGTTATAAGAAAGATCCTGGGCTTTCTCCGATCCCTTCATCCTGGGAATGCCCCTCTCATGTCCCTGTTATCCAACCCAGCCTTGCCTTCCATCTGCCACCTTTGCCCACCTCTCTGTCAGTTTCTTTCTCTCACTGTGTCCCGCAGGGGACAGTGCTGACCACTCTGTAGGGTCCCCCAGCTCATAGCCTTGCCTTGGTCAGGAGGGGAGATCCCTGGGAGGAGACATATTTAAAATTTTTTTTCAAGTGTACAAGAGCAAGTAGCTACAGAATGAAAAGCAGGGATAAACCTGTGGACTTCAACAGTATTATGGAAATGACTGTTTTTAGTATAATTGTTCTCTGTTTTGTGTGGCTTAGTGGGCCAGGATGCAGACAACTTCTCTGAGCAAAGGGGAAAGGCTGGTGTAATTCTGATAACTCACTGGGCTTTTCCTTCAGAGTGCCCCATCCTTTGTAGCAAGCTAGCCCCACCCCCTTCCTCCTGGGGAGGTTTCAAGCAGGGGACAGCCATGCCCAGGAGAGTACCCGAGTCCTTCGGGGAGGAGGACATAGAAGGACCAGACCCTCGGGCCTCTCTCCCAGGGGCTCTGTGGGCGGGAACCACAAAGGGCTCTTCCTGGATTGTTCTCAAAGATTTTGGAAAAGGAGCCAGTGTGGTGGCTCCACAATCATCTGTCTGCAAGAGCTGGGATCCTATACTGTGTCCTGGCTGCTCCACTTCCTATCTAGCTCCCTGCCAACACGCCTGGAAAGGCAGTGGAATATGGATCAAATAGGAGAGCCGGTGCCATCCACATGGGTGATAAAGATGGAGCTCCTGGCTTCTGGCTTTGGCCTGGCCAAATCCTGGCTTCTGTACCCTTTTGGGGGAGTGAATCAGCAGATAAATGATCTCCCTCTCTTCTCTCTCTGTCTTTCCATTTCAATGTCTTTCAGTTGGATGTATCTTTTAAAAATATTAAAAGATGAACCTTATCTTCAAAGCCTCACAGCTGCCACAGCAAAGGTGGGAGAAATCTGACTCAGACATAGCACACAGTGGGTCTACAGGTGTTATTTCCTTCCTCCCTTCTATGTTGCCCTCACAGCCTTAGGGTCAGGATGGGCTACACTTCCCACACATGCATGCTTGGATGTTCCCTAGAATAAAATCCTCCCTTTTAAGTTTTTTTTTTTTTAATCATTTTTATCTATTTTTAAGGCAGGGAGATCAAGACAGAGAGATCTCAAAACAGGTGGGGTTGGGCCAGGCCAAAGCCAGGAGCTTCAGGCTCAAATCAAGTCTCCCTCATGAGTAATGGAAACCATTACCTGCTGCCTCGCATGGTGCACATTAGCAGGAAGCTAGAATCAGGAGTCGAGTCAGAACCAGGATGCTGCCAGTCCAAGTGTTGTCTTAATCTCGGTGCTAAACACCCTCCCCAGAATGAAACCATCTTTGTTAAGAGTCAGAGCCTGCAATCCTTCAGCAACATCTTTGTGGAGACAGTGCATCACACTGGGCAGAATGCAGACAGGACCTTGTAGGTACAAGGAAATGGCCATAGGCTTAGGAGAGGCCCTGTATGAGCAAAGGTCTGGGGATGGGTGAGCTTGTGGGAGTGATCAAATGTTGAAGGATAGGACTCAGGGATTCCAGGGGACTCTTCCTCCAGCTGCCTAGCTGCTGCAGCCTCACTGAGAGCAGGGGCTTTCTGGCTTTTTCCTAACCCTGTAGTCCATGCTTTCTTGTGATGCTATCCGTTGGGCCTTGACAATTCTGCTTCCCCAGGTCCTTCCTCCTTGTCAGCCCTGATTCTTCTCCCAGCTGCTGGATGGTTTCCAAGAGCGAGGTCCGAGCACCTTACTGACCTGGGAAGGGGCTGACAGTAGTTGGGGGATGGAGGTGGGAGTAGGAGGAGCTCTCTGAGTGCAACCCTGATCCCTGCAGCCTCCAGAGGAGGAGTCCTGTCCCCACCTCCAGCCCTTGCCCCCCTTGCACAGCAGCGGCTCTGCTCCTCCCTGGCTGAGATGCGCAGACTCAAGCTCCTGAAGGTGAGGGGTTCTGGGGGCCTGAAGCTATCAGGCACAGGAGTCAAGTGTCCTTCTAGTGTTATAGTCCAAGATGACTGAGATTTAGGAAGAGGAGGTTGGAGCTGCAAGGATGGGGGAAGGTGATGTAGCCAAGGGGGACTCTTGCTATGGGAGCTGGGCGGGAGGGGACATTACCCAGTTTCTGGTAGACCTGACAACCTCACTGAGGGGATGACAGGTGAAGCCGCTCCAAGAAGCTGAAAGCCCCCTCCCAGAGGCCTCAGAGATGCAAACATGTGCTTTTGCTCTGGAGAGAGGGTGAAATCAAGTGCTCAGGGATGGAGTGGAGTTTGATGCTGGATGGGAGCAGCAGGCATGAGCTGGAAGTAGAAGGACCAGAAAAGAACATGAGTGGGACCCCAGGGGTGGGAATCACATGGTATACAAGGCAATGGCAGGTGTTTGGGGGTGGGAGGGTGGTGAGGCTTGGAGACTTTCAGCAATGGGGAGCCACAGAGGGTTTCCTGAGGAGTGGTAAGGTGGATTGGAGGTTTTTTTTTTTTTTCCTTCTGATGATAGTGTTAGGACTGCCACGAATTGAAATACTTAATGTTCAAGGCAAGTGAAACTCATCTGCATGTGTCCATGAAGGTCCTGGACCTTTGGGGTTGGGGTTGGGACTCGAGGGGTGTGTCTCACCTTTCAGAAAACATGTAGGAGACATCACTGCGCAGCTCTTATTAAGCCCATGCTCCATCTTTGTGGAAAAGCTGTTTTATCTTAGTTTGCTGGGTCTCATATCAGGTGATATTTTAGGCACTAGAAAAATCTCAGATGAGGTGGAAAAGCTATTATGTCTCTTAAAAACATTCTTACTTTATTTAAGAGGCAAATAGAATTAGAGAGGGAGAGAGAGAGGGGAGGGAGAGGGAGGTAGAGAGAGGGGGGAAGAGAGAAAGAGAGGGAGAGAGAGAGAGAGGGAGAGGGGGAGAGAGAGGGAGAGGGGGAGAGAGAGGGAGAGAAGGGAGGGAGACAGAGGAAGAGGGGGAAGAAAGAGGGAGAGAGAGGGGGGAGAGACAGGGAGAAGGGGGGGGGAGAAAGAACGAGAACACAGAGAGATAGACTGTTTACTGGTTCACTCTCCCAAATATCGGTAACAGCCAGGGCTAGGCCAGGGGAAATACAAGAGTTAGGAATTCATTCTAGGCCTCCTTTGTGGCTAGCCGGGAACAAAGTACTTGATCCATCCTCACTACCTTTTAGGGAGTGCATTAACAAGAAGCTGGAGTTGGGCCTGGCAGCGTGGCCTAGAGGCTAAAGTCCTTGCCTTGAACCTGCCAGGATCCCATATGGGCACCGGTTCTAATCCCGGCAGCTCCACTTCCCATCCAGCTCCCTGCTTGTGGCCTGGGAAAGCAGTCGAGGACAGCCCAAGGCTTTGGGACCCTGCACCCCTGTGGGAGACCTGGAGGAAGTTCCTGGATCCTGGCTTCAGATCAGCATAGCATTGGCCATTGCGCTCACTTGGGGAGTGAATCATCGGATGGAAGATCTTCCTCTCTGTCTCTCCTCCTCTCTGTATATCTGACTTTCCAAGAAATAAATAAATCTTAAAAAAAAAAACCCAAAAAAACAAGAAGCTGGAGTTGGGAGTGGAGTCTCTGATATGGGATGTGAACATCCTAACCAGTGACTTACTGCCGTGCCCAATGCCTCTCCTGGAAGAATGTACAGTTGGTGGGATCTAGCAGCCAGTGAGGCTGGGAGGAGAAGTAAGGCAGGGAGCAAGTCTGTTGTAATAGGGGAAGATGAGGGTTGGATTCTTTTTACATTGATGCTTTTCTTGCAGGAATGTGTTCATTCTTTTTTTAAAGATTTATTATCGTTTGAAAGGTAGAATGGCAGAGAAAGAGGAGTAGAGAGAGGCATCTTTTATATGCTGCTTTACTCCCCAAATGGTCATAACATCCAGATCTGACTCAGACCCAACTCAGCAGCTAGGAACTCCATCCTGTTCTTTCATAGGGGTAGTAGGAACCCTTCTTGGGCCATCTTCTGCTGCTCTCCAAGGCACATTTGCAGGAAGCTGGATCAGAAACCAAGCAGCTGGGACTTGAACCAGTACCTTGAAAAGAGATGTTGGTATTACAGCTGGCAATTAGCCTGCAGTGCCACAGTAGTAGCCCTCCAGATGTAATGAGACTGAGGTTCATGGTGGGTTGGGAGTGGAGATAGGTTCATGGTGTGTTGAGGGTCTAGGTCAAAAATACACATCCAAGAGTAGAGTCACATGTTTCAGTTAATAATGGACAAGATCCCTTGTTTGATGATTGTCTCATAGACCATAATGGAGCCAGGAAATTCCTATGGCCTAGTGACAGGGTAGTCATCACAACATCACAGCACAACATATTACTGACATGTTTGTGGTGACACTGATGTCAAGAAACCTAACACCCTGCCAAGTGTGCAGAAGTATCGTGCATACAATCAGCTATGTGCATGCAGCTATGCGTGAAACAGCATCCTTGCTGACCATAATGAACAGTTCCATTCATGTATTTACCACATCGTGCTTTCTCTCAACATTTCAGCCTGTATTCTCCTTACTTACATAAAAAAAGTTTATTGTAAAACAAGGTGTCACGTTACAGCAGGAGCAGCTGAGACACCTCACCTTTACCTTTGTCTTGGGTGCATCTAGAGGCCTTGTGGAGTGACTGACTTGTGCCAAGTACACTCTAACACATCTGTGCAAGGACAAGATGGCCTGGTGACATGACTGTCAGAACTCTCCCCATCATACAGTGATACACAACTCCGTATCTACTTATAAGAGATGTCATCCCAACTTAAATTGGCTCAAGTCTAAAAAAACAACTCAATGTTTCATAGAAGTGGAAAGTACAGAGACTGGCTGGTTCTGACATTAGGGATTCAGTAATGTTCCGTGGTGCCAGACAGAGTCTGTCTGTCCTTCCACATCTCAGTTCATCGGCTCTCCAACCTCATTCTGCACCTCAGCTCTTCTACCTTGACACGCGACATATCTGCAGTAGGAAGAGGCTTAACGGCTGCCAGCTGCCAAGTCCCGGGGGCATTCTGATTGGCCTGCTTTGGGTGTGAGGTCCTGAGACCAGGGCAGGGCAGTCGACGTCACTGGCAGTTCTTGTGTGGCCAAGTGGAATGGGGAGAGGGCCAATTCTCAGAGAAATAGTGCCATTTCCTCCCTGTGGCAGGGCATCTTCCCCACACAAGTGGTGAGGCTGTAGCTGGGAGAGTGAGCATGGATGAGATCCCTAGGGGAAGCAGAGAGCGAGGAGAGTAGAGGGTGAAGGCTCAGCCTGTCCAGACAGGGCAGGAGACTGGCCAGGGAGAACCTCCCAAGGATTAGGAAATTCATGAAGGGTTCAGGTCAACCCAAGACCCAGGAGAAGACATTTCACAAAGATAACAAGAGTCTGATAAAAGGGCCAGTGATGTAAAAGTGGGCAGGTGCCTGTGGTGTCACAAAATCAGCCAGGTGGGGGAAGTCAGGAGTGGCTGAGTTGTGTTTTTCTTTTGTCTTAATAAAGAGATGCCTGATTATCTGTTAATGCTTTCAGGAACAACTGAAATTGGGGAAAGGGGAAGGGAGCCAGGCAAGGCCATTGTCAAGGACGAGGCAGGATTGCCTGTGTTTCCCACAGATCCTGAGTACAATGACACATGCCATGTAGAACACACAGTGCATCTTGTTTTGGTTTTTTAGTTACTTCCTGTAACATCCTCCAGCTTTCCCATTTGCAATGTTGCATCCACACTTGCCTTTTAAATTTTTCATTCCCAAATCACAAAAGTAAGACATGTATACAGTGAAAGCAAACTCCAGATATTGAGATGTGAATAAAAGATGAAAAGCCATTGGCTGTCATCTCCCCCAACCCTCTCAACTTTCCGCCATCCTTCCTAGTGTAACTATTTCTTATCGTTTCCTTGGGAATTCTTCCAGAAAGTTTTAATGAATATACAAGTGTACGTAGGCATACATTTTTAAACAGGCAAGTGCGATCACACTGTGCCTGTTGTTCTGCACCTTGCCTTTTTCCACTCCCTGCTGGATCTTGGAGCTTCCTCCTTCGCAGCATATGTAGAGGGTGAGCTCATTTCCTCTCCAGAGCAGGCTGGTGTGCTGTGTGGGCACAGAGCAGGGCTGGTCCAACTCCTTCTGCACCACGTGGCCTTTCTGTTTTCCAACCTATTGCTATTAAAAATAATACTTCCAAGTATCTCAGTATGCATTCACTCGTGTGCCTAGGTGGAACTATTCTTGTACATGGCATTCTCAGGAATAGCATGATGGGGAGTTAGAAGTAGCTATTTTTGAAAGTGTGGGGGAAGAGGCTGGAATTGCTCTGCTAAATGAGAGTTGCAGAACTTGGCTGGGCAATACAGGTGTTTATTACATTAGTTCCCACCCAGAATTTTTTGTACGCTGGGATAGTTTACACACACTCAGCAAAGGTCATCACACTTACGCTCCCAGGATGAGTCAATAGGTATAACCCCGTTTTGTCAGTAAAACATTAACAAAATTAATCCTTGCCCATCCGGAGGCTAGAAAATGACGTTTCCCTACTGTGTTAATCGCATTTCCTTAATCACGAGGGTGGCCGAGGGATTCTTCCATGAGCTGCTTTTTCCACTTCTATTGAGTCATGCTTCTTTAATGCCGACAGAAGATTTCCTTTCACGCCCGTGCCCTAATTTACTTAACTATCTTCTGGTGAGTTATTTATACGGCTGCTGAACAACTGTGAATATCTTTGTCCAGGATGCTGTCTTTTCCTTTTAGACTTCCCTCTGTAATGCACCGGTTCTTGAAGATGAATTGCTGGGTCAACGGCGTGGACATTTTTACGACTCAATACATATTGTCAGATTGCTTTCTCGAAGGGATACTACAATCCTCATATACCAACACTGTTATTCTATTCGACTCTCACTGCCTTCAGATGTGAATAGAATGAACTTTTGCTAATTTATAGGTAAAGGATGGGGCCTTCGTTTCATTTGTATTGTTTTATCACCAAGGGAGTTGCATATTTTAGTATATGTTTGAATATAAACTATTCTTTGTCCTGAGAATAGCTGATTCCTCTCACTTGTTCATTTGACTGATAGCACATCACCTTCTTCTATAAAGGACATGAGATGTTGTCTTATCTGGGAAATAAGTGTTTCCTCAGGCCCTGTGACCTTCTGGGAAGTTATTGACTGATATCAGATTATCAGGGTCCATCCTCAGAAGCGAATGTGGCAGAGGGAGTGATTGAAAAGATGAAGGTGGTGTGATGGGGAAAAGGGGCTGAAGGGGACCCAGGTGGTGGTGATGGCAGAGCCCAGGCAATTAGGATGAGTGCCCTCGGGCATCAGGAAGGACCTGCTGGGCTGGGGGTGCCCCACCAGCAAGCAGAACAGCTGCTGCTGCCCTCTAGGATGCTGGCCAGGGTGCTGGGCACCACTGAGGAGTAGGGCAAAGGCTGGGCAGAGGGAGGACTCTGTCTGGTTCCAGATGACCAGTCTCTGAGCACTATCTCTTTTGATCCCCAGACAACCGTCTGGCCTTGATTGTTGTTAAATGGCATCTGTAAATGGATTTGATATCTAGTTTTAGTACTTTCATTTGTATTCTTTTGTTTCCAACGTTCATTTAAAGAGATATTTCTTTAATACTTTTCATATGGGAATGAATATATATATATATATATATATATATATATATATATAGCTAGCTACGTGTGTATATGTACGTGTGGTATGTATCGGTACCATTGGTTGTTGTTTTCATGTCTGTGGGAGGGGGTATGCCTGTAAGTATGTGTGTGTATGTGTGTGTATGCACTTCTCTATTAGGGAGTTAACTGTTCATCTTCAGTTTTTGAAACTTTAGATGTTTCTTATTTATTGGTTCCCAAATCATCTTTACACATGAAAGTTGTACGGCTTTGTTGTGTTTTCTACAAATATAATTTCTCAGTTGTCAATTTTGTTTACTTTCCACTTGTTATTATTGAACTGCACAGAGCCTTACCTTACACATAAGTTGGATGTGTTTTGACACATGCATGTTCTTGTGTAATCCACATCTCTCACATCCTGGAAATGTCCGATGCCCCTCTCCCAGATGATCCTCCTATCCCCGCTGCTCTGCCAGAGGCACCCACTGCTGAGATTTCTGCCCCCATGAAACAGCCTCGCTTGCTCTAGCATTTCATGTACATGGAGGAATGAAGAACGGGCTTTTGCAGGCCTGGTTTCTTTTACTCAGGGTCATGGGTGAGACTTATAATTTCTGCTGACATGCGCTGCCTCTTCACTGTGTGGTGATATTCTGATGCGTGGACACGGCATGGTTTGCATACTCATTCTCCTACGCGTTGATATCCGAGTTGTGTCTCATATTTAGCTCTCATGAATAACACTCCAAGGAATACTTGCATATAAGTCCTTGGATGGATGATGTTTCAAGAATGAAAATTCTGGGTTATGTGGCAAGAATCTGTTGAACATTTTTCAACACCGCCATACTGTGATTGTGCCATTTTATGCTGTAACCAGTGGTGTATGAAGTTCTAGTTTTCCATATCCTTGCCAACATGTGGTGCTGTGTGTTTTTAAACTTTAGACATCCTTGTGAGTTGTTGCACTTGCATACTAATGATAATTTCCATTTCCCTGATGACTGAGGAGGTTGTATATGTTTCCTGTCCTTACTGGCTGCTCATGTTATAGCATGGTGCGTTTGACATAGTGACATGAAGTTTTATGTGGCTGAATTCATTAATCATTTTGCTTATGATTTTTAAAAGAGATTTATTTGTTTATTTGAGTTACAGGAGATACACAGAGACATCTTCCTTCTGTTGGTTCACACCCCAAATGGACACAGTGGCCTGGCCTGAGCCAATTTGAAGCCAGGAGCTTCTTCTGGGTCTCCCACGTGGGTGCAGGGGCCCAAGAACTTGAACCATTGTTGACCACTTTCTTAGGCCATCAGCGGAGAGCTGGATTAGCAGTGGAGCAGCGGGCCCAGCACGTGGTGCAGTGGTTAAGGTCCTCGCCTTGCACGCCCGGGATGGGTGCTGGTTCTAGTCCCAGCAGCCCTGCTTCCCATCTAGCTCCCTGTTTGTGGCCCAGGGGCGGGGGGGGGGTGGCAGTCGAGGACGGCCCAGGGCTTTGGGATCCTGCACCCGTGTGGGAGACCCGGAAGAGGCTCCTGGCTTCGGATCAGCATAGATCGGTTGTTGCACTCACTTGGGGAGTGAATCATCAGACGGAAGTCCTTCCTCTCTGTCTCTCCTCTCTGTATGTATGTCTTTCCAATAAAAATAATAATAAAAAAAAGAAATCTTAAAAAAAAAAAAAAGAAGTGGAACAGCCCAAACTAGAACCCAATAAACCATGCACTGACCTCACTATTTTCAACCTATATTTCCTTCGAATACTTTACTGGTTGAACTCTTGAACATCTCGCTCTTTGACCTACCTGTGTGTTGTGTTACATTGTCAGGAAACCATTTGTCCTCACATTGTTAGTCAATCGGACTGCACTTTGAGGAATCATTCCCTTGTCTCGCTTACTGTATCTACCACACTTCTCTTAAGCCAGCTTCTACCTATAACTGGATCTGTTTGTATGCTGTCATTGAACTTTGGATATTTCCACAGGTCTCAGCTATTGCAGTTATACAGTTTACTGTCAAGCAACTTGCAGGTCTACTTCCAGGACTCTTCAGTGGTCCCAGCTCATTAATCTGTCTGCTCTGACTCAGGGAGGGGTTACATACTAAGAAGTGCCCTCAGTCTCTAGCTGCCAGAGGAGGCAAGGTGGCACAGGCTCCCTGGAGATTTGAATGGAGCCAGCCCTGCCCACACCGTGACTGTCACCTCCTGAGACTCATATCAGATGCATGACCCTCCAGAGCTGGTGGAAGACATGTATGTGTGTTGATTCAGCAGGCGTTGGAGACCAACACACTATCACAAAATGATGTTTTTTTACATGAAATTTTGAATGTAGTTCTACTGTGGTTTTTCTTGGAACTGTATCTATATTTTAAAAGATTCACCATTTATTTGAAAAGCAGAGTAGAATGACAGAGAGAGATCTTCCATATGCAAGTTTCTTCCTCAAATGGCTGTAAAGGCCAGAGCTGAGCTAGGCTGAAACCAGGAGTCAGGAGCTTCTTCTAGATCTCCCACATGGGCAGCAGGGGCCCAAGCACTCAAGCCATCTTTGGAAGGCTGCCCTTTCAGGAGACCAACAGGAAGCTGAATGGAATGTGGAGCAGCCAGGAGACCGATGGTGGCTGTGTAGGACGTAGTGGAAGCTGTTCCATGGTGCCTGCTCCTGGAGCAGCATCACCTTCGATCTACCTTGGAACTAACACTGCTGTGCTGTTCAGCCTTGCTACTTAGACTTCTGTGGAAAATGAGCATACTTCGCCTCTACATTTCTGCGCAGTGCCTATGATTGTTGTTAGGTTCCCCAGAGGCAGGCCTGAGGCAAAGCTGGTCTCATCAATGCCTGTAGGAGAGTGAGGAGGGGACTGATAAAGGGGGCATTAGCAGGCAAGATACCATCACCTGGGAGCTTTGGGGACCAGCCAGAGCATGCAGGCTTCTCCCAGTCTCCCTAGAGACTGATGGCATCGCTCCAGCATCACCAATGGAGGCGCTGGATGCAAAACAACTGGCAGCCCCAGGGGAGCCTTCAGCAAGCCTGTCTCTGCAGCCTTCAGCTGCAGGGGAAACTCACTTCTAGGCAGACTTCTAGTCACTCTGCATCTTTTACCTCCTCCTAAGGAGGTGATGTCACAAAAGGGGACCTAGCCAGTCTAGCTCTGATCAAGATGTGGCATGACCTGAGTAGCTTCCGGAGGAGGTAAACTGCCTGCCCAGTGAGTGGCTAGGCATAGCACATGACCCTTTTCACCACTGTGATGAATGCCAGCCTTTCAAGCCTCAGCCATTGCCTTGCCCAAGGACTGTCTGTCCATGTCTATGGCAGGCCTTTGTGTGCTGGAGAATCAAAAGCATCCTCCCAGCTCTCCTGACCCATGACAGGCTGAGCTTGGTGTGTGCGTCCCCAGCTCTGGGACCCTGGTGAGTGGCAGACAAAGGACCTGCAGGCCAGTGCGTGACACTGGCTCCTAGAGGTCCCCAGTGCCTTGACTTGGCTGCCTTCCCTTTCCTGCCCTGCTTCCTACTCTCCAACAGTATTTGCCTGGGGTCCCCTCCCAAATAAATATCCCCAAATCCTGGTCTCCTGGTCCGTACCCGAGGGAGCCCAAATCTAGACATTAGGCAATAGGTGAGGGGGAGGCATCCTAAGGCTGAGAACAAAAGGCAGGCATCCCTGAGCCAGGAGATGGGATGTAGAGTCTGCATGTGTGCTAAGAGGACACTGGCCTTCCTTTGCCCGCCTTATATATTTTTATTGATTTAAATAAGTGGCAGAATGTTGTGATGTAGAAACAGAGAGAGCTCCTGGCCTCTGGTTAGTTCCTTAAAGGTCTATAGTGACAAGGATTGGGCCCCCAATCCAGAGCAGGGAATCCATCCAGGTCTTCCATGTAGGTCTTCCTTGGACCAATGCCTCGAGCCAACTAGCACCAACACACTGCCACCCAAGGTCTGCATTAGCAGCCAGCTAGAATCGATTTGGGCACCTTAACCATTGTCTGACCTACTATGCCTCACATTTAACTCCTCTGACCTTCTGCTTGGCTGTCTACTATTTGGGGTCCAGCCCAGGAATAGGGTTTCTAACAGCCTCTGCCCCCTGTGAACTCCTGAGAGGAGCAAGTGTCTGGAAAATAGTTTGCTTGGTTTCTCTCAGGCTGCAGGTTCCAAAGCCACCTTGGCTTTATTTGGTGGGAAAGCTGAGAAAGTAGAAATTTCCGTTTGGGAGAATTAAATGCATTCCTGGGAGGAGGCAGGGATATTGGCTGAGACTGAGCAGGGGCTCCAAGGAGGACACTGTGCTTGCTGGGTCCTTCTTGGTAACCAAGGGGCATGGGGTGGGGGAGAGTGGGAGCCTGCGGGATCCACATTCCATAAAAATGTTGACTGGACTGCAAGATGAAGGGCCCGCAGACACCTTCCGATGCTCTGTAATTTATGGGGTAATCAGAACTCCACCCCTGAAGGGCTACGTGTGAAGAAGAACTGTGATTCAGAGCCTTGAGGGCTCAGGCATTTAATGAGGCACTGGGAGCCCATCAAGATTTAGATCAGAATGATTTGCACATTTAGGATGCCCCTGAACAATGCCACTGTTTTCTAGGAAATGCTGCAAGTCTGGATGCAGAAATCAACCAACCCCATGTGTAGAGGTGGGTGGGTACCATGTAAGGGTCCCACCAAGGGTTATGTTTGTCAAAACCTGCCTGTCTTTGACCTGTCAGTTGCTGCTGTAGCTTGAATACTAAGATTGAGATTTAGTTCCTGCCAGGAGATGTTAAGAGGTAGGCCCAGGTGGGCCTTTTAAGAGGTGATTAGGATGCTGCCCTTGTGAATGGATTAATCCATTCCCATGATTAATGGATCAACGGTCTAATGGGTTGTCTGGAGTGTGGATCTGTCATAACAGCCAGTCTGACTGTGTGTCAGGTGCACGTCCTATTTCTAGCTGCATGATGCCTCGCCTCTGCCTTCATAGCTGCAAGCTCTTGACCTTGGACCAGTGCCTCGAGCCAAAAGGAATCTCACTTCTGTGTAATTTGTCCCATCTGTACAATTGTTTTCTGAGCAATGGACAGCAGGCTGAAGTAGCTGACTGCCCTCATGGAGACGAGGGGTGTGAAAATGGAAGCGGAACAGACGGAGATGCTGGAGCACAGAGGGGTTAGGTCCAAAGTCATGCAGTGCACCAGGGACCCCAAGCATGACCACAGATGAAAGAAAAGACAGTTGTTAAAGTTTCTGGGAGAAGAGCTGGCACAATTCTGTCTACAACCATGAAGGGCAATCCATGGGGCACAAAAGACACGTTGAGCATCTTTGGGCATTTTCAAGTTTGCATATTTAAATTGTTTTCCTAAATGCAAAATATGTATTAAGACACTTTCTGAATGTTTTAAGGGTCGGTTCCGCAATTATGAGGGAGCCTGTTAACTTGCTCAAAGATGGATTAAAAATGGTGTCTGTATGCCTTTAAGCTGAGATGATCCAGTGCAGGAACCTGAAACAAGATGTGGAGTGGATGCTCGCTGAACTGAGGGATGTGGGAGGTAGGCTGGCTCCTGCAGAGCCTTCTATCAGGCCCTGCTCAGGGCACCGCCAGCCCCTCCCTCTACCTTCTGATTCTAAAGGCGGTATGCATTCACTATGGAAAATCAGGGAAAAAAACAGATAAATATTCAGAACAAAAAAACCCCTCTGTTAACCACTCCAACCAGTCTCCCCAGAAATAACTGTTTGTAATATTCTCGTGCATGCTGTGCATGCCTGCTTTGTTTAGTGGTGTATATTCTGCCTTGATTCTAACGTGCCATTTCATTGTCTACAAAGAACTCCAGTAGCTGCTTTGTACTCTTTTGAAAGGTTATGGCATAATTTATTCACCTGTTTCTAGGTGTTTTCTAGGCAGTTTCCGATTTTTCAATATTATAAATAACACTATGATGAATGTCCAGGTGCATAAATCTTGGGGGCAGCTTGGCTGTGCATTTGTACTCTGTTCCCTGTAGGGGTGGGGTCTGAAAATCCTGACCCTACCTGCTCTTCACCCTCGCCGTGCTCTCCTCCTAACCCCCTCCTATCTCTTCTTTTATACCCTGACCTCCAGCTCAGGCCACCCAGCAGCACCTGGCCCAGGCTTTGGCCGTAGCCTTGCAGCCTCAGCAGGTCAAGCTGTCCCAGCAGAGCAGAGCAGGAAGCCTGGATCTAAGGAAACCATACAACCCCGGGCCTTTGGCTGGGCCCTCTTCAGGTTTGTGCCTCAGTTTCAATTTTTCTACCAGGGTCATTGGATTTCACTGTTAACATTTTTGAAACCTGAGAAGCTGTTACGTGCAGAGGTGAGCAGAGAACCTTGGCTAGAGTGCCTGTGTCTGTCTTTACACAGCAGAAATGATGCTGGGTCTGGCGCTGGGGGTGGCACTGTGCCAGGCACTGAGGAGAACAGATGAACAAGGTATCTGAGACTTCCCTAAGCCCAACCCTTTGTCCGGGGAGGGGTTCAGGGTGCCACAGGGCATTCCTGACCTGGTTGACCCACTGGGCTCCTGCTTTGCTTCTCTGACACTCAGGTTACATATGTGATGGGTTGGTCCATGCATGAGCTGAATGACCCCGGGCTTTGCTGCCTTCCAGGGTCAGCCCTGAGGGATTCCACTAGGCCTGCCCACCAACCCCTAAGCCCAGAGGGATTCTGAGGGCCAAGGTGGGATATGTGGCCACTGTCCTTCCAGCCCACCCTGCTGTCCTGACACTGTGGGGCTCCAGCTACCATCACTGTTCCTGGCAGCTAGCATTCCTTAGTTCCCACAACATGCAGGGTATGGCTCAGAACCTGACATGCACAATTTGACTCAGTCCTCCCTTCCAACAAGTGTGCCTATTCCACAGGTGAGAAGGTCAGGGGTAGCAAGCACCTCCTCTCAGTGTCCCAGGCCCTTGCTTCTGCTTACTGCACACATTACTTCCAGGAGTGGGAGGGCCAAGAGCCTCCACATACGTGCAAGACTCAGGACTCTAACTGATGCAAGATGCAGAAGGTACTTTGTCTTTGTGTGGACTCCTCAGTGTGCCCAGCCCTCTGCTGATCCCTCCCAGTGTCAGCCAGCACCACCAAGGAGGCCAGGATTGGGCTTGTTCTCAAAGGCCACTGACTCCAGGAGGAACAGCTGTGCTTCTCACCCCTGGGGTCGAGCAGCCCAGATCATGTGTCTCTGTTTGGAAAGCAGCATCTACCTGTGTGCATGTGTGGACTGTGGTCAGAGCCCACACGAGCCCAAATGTGGCAGGAATGTGTTTTCCAGTTTTTTATTCCAAGTCCTTGTCCCCGCATGTGATAAGAATTTTCTACATAAGTAAGGTACATGGATGATTCCAGGATTTATTTAAAGTGAGAGTGAGAATCCATCCACGTGTGAGTGTGGGCATCTCCTTGAAGAGAGACACCTGCTATGAGAGGGCCAGAGAGCCCTGAGTGAGTGAGTGAGGAGAAGGCAGAAGGAATGAGCTTGAGGGACAGCTCCCCTAGCCAACACTTTATAGGGCAGGTACCACTACCCTAATCGGATCCACAGACAGGTGGAGTTTGGGCGAGGTGTATTGCACATGAGGTTTTCTAGAGCCTCATTTCACTTGTACAGTGAGCTCAGCTTACACCAGAGATACACTGCATCATGGGAAGGTGGGCATACCAGAGAGAATCTTCTAGCTCATTTTCCCCTGGAGTATCTTGCCTATCTCCCATTGCACAGGAAATGGGAGGATGGAGTTCTGTTGCTTGTGGTTGCTCAAAATCTCAAAATCTCAGCCAACCGCCTGGGTCCGAGCCAGGACTGCTGTCTAGATTGAGGCTCCTTTCTCTTGTCCAGGTCACTTCTTCTGGAAAAGTCACACAGATGCATGCATGTCACCTGCAGGGATCCCCCAAGGATCTCTGTGGAGGACAGCTGCCCGTTTGACAAAGGAGAGCCCAGGATGAGTGTGTGAGCAACTCTCATGGATCACTGTAATAACCACAGTTGTGCTGTTCCTATTGAGATTCCAGTGTTCCTTCTTCAAGTGGGTGGTTTGGCTGTTTCAGTCTATACCCAAGGAGGTGTGCTCCAATGTCTCTCTTTCCTTATGGTAAATTCCATCCCAACAGGTGGGAGCCTGAATGCTTCTTTGGAACATCACCTGCTCACCTTCCTCCTGCATCCTATGAGAGCTCTGTTCCTCTCTGTTCTCTACCAGCACTTAGTGGTGTCTGCAGGGGTCTCTTTGCTTGGGTTGCCAGGCTCTCATCTGCCCACACCTCTTTCTGGAATGATGGCAACAACTTCTTGCTGTCTCCTGCCATAGGATATTGTAGGCTCTCACATTTTCTTTACAGATCTAAGTTGTATTACACACACAAAACTGTTCAAGTCACTTCCCTCATTGACCCCTTCTACTGTGTCCTAGGATCAGCAGGGTGACGGCCAAGGTCTTTAGCTAGTCACCCGTGCTCTTTTCATGACCTAGCGTTGATTCAGTTGCTCATTCATTTTCCTAATTTATTTTTCTTACTCTGCAACTAAAACAAGGAGGACCTAATTGCTCAGCCCTCTTAGTGGGCTCAGAAGGCTGTCAGAGCTTGTGGGTTCTCAGTCGTCTGGGTTTATTCAGCTCCTATGGCTGTCCCCGACAGCTGGCCTGAAACTGAGTGGCTTAGAGTGACTGAAAGAGACTCTTGTGCAGTTTGGGAAGCCAGAAGTTCAAATAACTCCATCATGATCCTGCAGGGTGCCCCAGCAGGTCCCACAACATGCAGGGTATGGCTGTATCATCTCTCAGCTCTGGTGGCTCTAGCATTTGCAGATCTCTGGCTATATCCTTCCCACCCCTGCCCCAGGGGTCCCACAGTCTTCTCCTCTGTCTGTGGTAGTGTCCCTCTGCCACCCTTTTTGCTTGTGAATTATCATTTGAAAGGCAGAGTTACAGAAAGAAAAGGTAGAGTTGGGGAGAGTCAGAGTCAGAAAGATTTTCCATTTGCTGATTCACTCCCCCAAAGGGCTGCAATGATCAGGGCTGAGCCAGACCAATTCCAGGAGCATGGGATTCCGTGGTAGTCTCCCATGTGGGTACAGGGATCTAAGCACTGGGGGCCATCCTCTGCTGCTTTTCCAGGTGCATTAGCAGGCAGCTGGATGGGAAGTGGAGCAGCTAGGTCTCAAACCAGTGCCCATATAGGATGCTGGTGCCACAGTGGTGAAGAAGAGTTCAATGATAGAACAACTAAGATGTTCAGGCACAGAAGTCCTGTGGAACAGCCTGGTGTCCTGCTTGGCTGATTCTCCCGGCTGTCAAGGGGGACTACAGCACCCCTACACCAAAGCTTCAGGGGAGCCAACGAGGACCCAGCCTGTGGGGCTCAAGTCTGGCCTTCCGATCTTTAATCTTCCACTGGGGAATAAGACAACTCTCTGGCATCTCAAGGATGACATGGGGATTTGACAGCCAGGAGGTAACTGAGGACATTCCTGGCAGGGGTGTTTTGAGACAAGGGGATTGTGTGTGGTCAAGGGAGGGGGAGGCATGGGGCTCTGTGCTCTGAGGGGTTGAGCCAGGGCAAGGCCCTTGAAGTCCTCTGACTGCGGCCAGCAGGACCATAGAGCTCCTAGCCGACCCTGCCTGTCAAGACCCTACTCAATAATGTCACTCAAACTAAGGCTGTCAGAGATCACTGGCTCTGACCACCTGCTTCCTGCTCTGCTGCCATACAACAGGGATACTGAGGCCAGGGGCTGGACCAAGGACACACAGGAGGTTAGGAGAGAAGTAGAGACTGATTCAGACTCACAGGCCATGCTTCTGGCAGGAGTGGCCAGCGCACAGGTGGGAGACCTGCATGGGGCAGCAGCAAGGAAGGGACCAGTGAGGCATCTTCCACCCTCTACCAGCCCTCAGCTGCTGTCCCACAGGGACCTCCTGAGAAGATCATTTCTTTGCATAAACTAGTTTTTGATTGGATATTTCAAGATACTGTGAAATATTTTATCTAAATAAAATAAGAGTAGTACATTTGCTGCAGCCTAAGTGTCTCGCTCTTTATTCCAAGCTCTTGCCCCCACAGGGATAAGTATTCAACTCAGAGGCATAAACACAGTGTGCCAGTGAGAGCAGGACTGATTTATAAGAGTGTGAGCATGCATTCACATGTGGATCTGGGCCACCCACATGGAGAGATTCCTGTCCTGAGTGGGCCAGAGGAGACATGCTGGCAGGAGGCCCGAGAAAGATCCTAAGCGTGAGTCAGAAGCCCAGAAAGCAAAAGGGACTGCTTGCTCCCTCATTCCCAGTTCGTTCTATGAAATGGGGAGTGGTCCCCTCATTGAATATGCAAATAAGGTGGGGATTAATGTGTAAGGTTTTCTGGGAATTTCATGGCACCTCCACGTGGAACTGAACTTCCACGTGAATGCTATGATGTCTCCTCTTTCTTGGTCCTGAATGAATCCACGTGCATTATGGGAAGGTGAATTGACAGGGAAGCAGGGGGAGTCATAATGCAGAAATCATGAAAAATGTTCCATCTCAACTATTCTTCCTATTTCCCACAGTTCATATTTATGCAAGCCAGTAAAATCAGCACGTGCAAGCCCAGCACTTTGTTGGCATCAGATCTTCCCTGGGTTGGGTTCATCGTCCCTGTTCCATCCCCTTGCCTGCCATGAAGGAAGGCGCAGCTCGGACTTTGCTGCTTGTCACTTCCTCCTATGTTGATAGCTTCAAAGATTATACACATTCCTAAGGCCACCTGCTGTGTACTTGTACTTGCACAAAGCCCCTCTGCCTCCTTGAATCATTTTCCACTCAGCATTGCTTCCAAAATTCACCCAACATCCTTGCCTGGAGCTTAATGCATTCATTTTTCCTGCTGTATAATGTTTCATGTGTGAGCAGCCACATATTATTTATCTATTCTCTTGCTGTGGGGCATTTAGTTTGCTTCTGGCATTTTGTTCTCATGAATAATGCTGCTATGAACACTCTCAGATATGTCTCCACGGGCATGTGGGAGGGTTTCTTAAAGACAACTAGCAGTGGAATTGTTGTATCACATGATGGGTGGCTATGGAAACCTGGGTGTTAAAACCAATAAATGCTTTCACCTGTGATATGGTTAGCTTACTCTGCCACCTTTGGCATATTGGATATTGGCAATGGCTGAGAAAGAGAGGGAAAGACAAAGAGAATGAGGCCCAGGTCAAGCAGTGGAAACAGAATTATATCATATACAGATATTCTTGACTCACAATACAGCTAGAAATATTGATTTATTTATTTGAAAGGCTGAATGATAGGGAGAAAAAGAGAGACGGAGAGAGACCTTCTATTCAATGGTTTATTACCCAAATGGCAACAACAGCCCAGTCTGAGCCAGGCCAAACTTAGTGGCCTGGAACTCCATCCTGGTCTACCACATGAGTGGCAGTGGATATCTGCTGCCACCTCTCAGAGAAATTGGAAGCTGGATTGGAAACAGAGTAGTCAAGCCTTGAACAGGTGCTCCAGTGTGAGATGCTAGTATCAGAAGTAACAGCTTCACCTGCCATGTCCCAATGCCAGCCCTGGAGTTACATCTTGATAAACCCATTGTAATTTGAAAACATTGTTAAGTTGAAAATGTGTGTAATATGCTCAGCCTATGGATCATGTCATATAAGCAACACAGTCTGCGATAGAGAATTTGGTGTTTTTCCTTGTGCTCACTGGGCTGCTGGGAGCTGCAGGTTCTCCTGCACCAGTGGTTGTTAGCTTGGAAAAACATCATAATTCCAAGTCTGAGCCTGCGTTGTAACATAATGGATTAAACCACCTTCTGCAACACAGGCTTTCCAGATGGGTGCTGGTTTATGTCCTCACTGTTCCACTTCTGATCCAGCTCCATGCTACTGTGCCTGAGAAAGCAGTGGAAGATGGCCCAAGTTCTTGCATAAAATTCTATTTTTTGGCCTGGCCCAGATCTAATTGTTGTAGCCATTTAGGGAGTGAACCAAAAAAAAGGAAACTCTCTTTTTCTTTTTGTAACTCTGCATTTCAAATAAATAAAATAAATACTGGGCGAAAAAAATCCAAAATGTGAATTGTATCAATTGTATATCACTGTTGTGTATCACTCTTACATCAAAAGAAGAAATGCCAGTCAGGACATTGTAAGTTGGGGAGTGCCTATAACAGCAATGACTGTGGGGGCAGCAACCCACCCTGCAAGGCTCCAGTGGAAAGGAGAATTTGTGCAGAGGATACCGGGTCATCCCACAGCACCAAGACTGAGGGTATGGCTGGCCCCAGCCCAGGCACCTCGAAAACAAAATCATAGTTTTAGGTCATCATTTCCTGTTCCCATCAGCATCCTCTGCATTTCCTGTCTGCATGGCAGAAAGCTCCCACTGATGTCCCCAAGCTTTCCAAAGCAGCCATCCAAACAGAGGCCGACTCTTCTCCCTTAGATGTGGGCTCCTCTGGTGGAGGTGAAGTGACACTCCCTCAGGGCTGCTGTGCTTTCAAATGGGTGGGAAAGGACTCCAGGGAGATAAGTCCACAGCCAGGTTTTAGAGCTTGCCTCTTAGCAATCCCCATCATGGCCACCCTCTCTATGACCTCTAACTTCTGAGTCCTCTAGCCTATGACCCTTCCCTCATTTTGAGCCATTTTCTTTTGGACCAGTGCTTAGCAGTGGCATGACTGCATCATAATGTTTGCACAATTTGTATGATGTTTGCATTTATTGTCAAGTTGATTTCACTGAATAGTGGCAAAAAGATATCACGTAGCTTTCATTAACAGCTTGCCGGTTGCTAGTTCCTGTCTGTTAGATGTATGAGAGCGTGTTCCCTTCTGTGGCTTGTCCTACGCAGCGGTGCCTATCTGTCAGGCCAGTGTGAATCCTGTACATGCAGCATGCCCCTTTCCTTTTGTGTCTGCAGTACCCTTGCTATGCCTTCCCTAAGGGAATTGTGCCTGTGTCATGTCTGGGGTTGATCTTTCTTACTGGGCCATGAGTTCCTTGTGGGTGGGCAGGGCCAGACTGGGGCTCCCTCTAACATGAGAGTCTGAGTGAAGTACTCTGTGTCAGCTCATGGATGAAATAAGCATCTGGCACGGTCTACGTGGGGCCTAAGTGGTATTCAGTTCAAGGGGCCCTGCACAGGGATTGGAAGACATGAGGAGCTCAGGCATCCCTCCCTTATACAGCAAATAGGTTCCTGAAGACCTGCCATGCATGGGCGGAGGGAGCCTAGGGATGCATTGCTAAGCGTGGCTTCCTGGAGCATGGAGTATAGCAGAGGAGAAAGAATTTGACAACTATTATACAGTGCTGGAAAATCTTATTTATCACAAACAGTCCCAGAAAGTTCTATGAACTGGCATGGGGCAGGTACTCAGCCAGAGTGATCTAGAGCAGGGTCTGACCACCTTCTCCTGCAACAGGCTTTCTGGTCTCCTAGACCACACAGGTGCATCCAGCCCACATCACGGGCTTCCCGCATGGCTTTCTTTCCTTCCTCTACCCCTCTTTACTTACAGCTCTCTGAAAATGCAAAAGCATCTCTTAGCTAATGAGCCATGCAGGACCAGCCATGGGTCCAACTTGGTGTGCAAACTGCAGGTAGTTTGCCAGGCCAGATTTCGGCTATAGAGTCACAAGCATCACAGATCCAAGGGCTGACACCCTCCTTATAGCACAAGCAGCACAGCAATGCTTCGACTGGCCTCCTGTTGGCTTAGGATTGGGGATGATGGAAAGACGGAACTATAGTACTATTCATTGATGCTTGTATATCCCTAAGCTAAGACTTGTGTCACACGCTGGAGCCTTTTTCTTATCAGCATTGATTTTTACAGCAAAGGTGACATTCTTTGTCAACTGAAGCATGCATGGGGCAGTGAATACCACCTCCTCTCTTCTGGCCAAGTACACACTTGCAATTACACAGGAGCTGCAGCTGCATGTTCCAGATCTCGGTGGCAGTGCCCTATCCTGCTCCTCATTGCGCAGACAGGTAGGCTCTAAAGGTATCCTCCTGGAGTTGCAACTATGGAGCTGCCCACTCCCGCCCCCCACCTCCAGTTCTGTGTCCTTAGCAACACACTTCTCTCCTATTCGGGATGAAACAGGCAACTTCGCAAGCCAGGAGGTAGGACTTGATCTCAGCCCAATACTGAGTTAGGGGCCCCGAAACTTTAGTACTCACATGGCTTTGCTGGCGCAGTGACTCTGGAGAGCTGCAGCAGCTTCTCCCTGGGTCTCTGGTACTGAGATATGACAGGTTCTGCTGTGTGTCTGGCAGCTTGGGATGCAGCTGACTTGAGGCCACGCTCAGCTGTGCTCAGAGTACGCCTGGCCCAGCAGTTCCTGATCAGATCGCACTTGCCTCCCACCCCAGGCCTATGCAATTGCCTTCCCACTTGGAATGCTTCTCTCCCATCTACACAGGATTAGCCACTTCAACCTTTCTGGCTTGTCCAGGAATTTAAAAAATTTTTTCTTTGAAAGACAAAGTTACAAAGGGCACCAGAGAGAGAAGTCTTTTATCTGTTGGTTCACTTCCCAAACGGCTATGAAAATTAGAGCTGAGCTGATCCAAAGCCAACATCTTCTTTCAGGTCTCCCATGTGAGTGCAGGGGCCCTAGCATGTGGGCCATCCTCTGCTGCTTTCCCAGGCCATACAAAGGGAACTGGATTGGAAGTGTAGCATCTGGGACACAACTGGTATCCCTATGGGATGCTGGTATCACAAGTGAAGGCTCAACCTACTATGCCACATGCTAGCCTCTCGCCCAGGAAATTCTGCTGGCCAGGGCCTAAGTCCTCCCTCCTGAGTGCCCTCTGCCTCTCCCACATTGGGGAGCCATGGTAGGCTTGGGAAGGATGGAGGGGGCTGCCCCAACTCTAACTTCACTTGGTATCCTAGTGCCTGCTATGGATCTGGACCCCAGACAAAGAGAACAGATCTGGTGAGGGGCCAAACAGGAATAGAGAATGAGATGATATTTTCTGGGATGACTGAGAGGAACTTCATTTTTTTTTTTTTTTTAACAAAAGGAGGTACTGGCATTCTGACTTCCTGGCCTGGTTCCATCTGCTTTGAGCTTCCCAGCATCTGGGGCAGTGGCTGCTTGGGGAGGGGAAGTTTGTTGGGGTCGGGGATTATTCCATGCTGCACAGCACACCCTCTGGTCTCTCCTGTCTACATCAGCATGTCACTGGGGACTCACGGACTTTTTTTTTCTATTACATTGTATTATGTGACACAGTTTTTTAGGCACTAGGATTCCCCTCACCCCTCCCCCAACTCTCCCCCCATGGTGGATTCCTACACCTTGCTGTGTTGCCACAGTTCAAGTTTAGTTGAGATTCTTTCATTGCAAGCATATACCAAGCATAGAGTCTAGCATCTTATTGGACTCACGGACTTTTGTAGCACTGTCTCATGGGGTCCCTGTGCTGGCTTTGCCTGAAAGGTTCCACAGTAGCCTCAGTGGAGAATTAGACCATCTTTTAGGGTCCAGAAGGAGCTCTGGCTTTAGTGTTAGAGTTCAAGTTCAGCTTGGCCTCTGGCTTGCTGGATGGACTTGGGCAAATTTCTATCCCTCTCTGAGCTTCAATCTCTGCTTCTGAATACTGAGGAGGCTAGAAGGGGTGGTTTCTCGATCCAGAGCAGTGACTCAGTGGCTGAATCCTTGCCTTGCATGTGCCATAATTCCATATGGGCACTGGTTCCTGTCCTTGCTGCTCCACTTCCTGTCCTGCTCCCTGCTTGTGTCCTGGGAAAGCAGTAGAGAATGGCCCAAAGCCTTGGGATCCTGCACCTGCATGGGAGACTCAGAAGAAGCTCCTGGCTTGGATAGGCTCAGCTCTGGCCACTGTGGTCACTTGGGGAGTTGGCCAGAAGACAAAGATATTTCTCTCTGTCTCTCCTTTTCTTTGTAAGTTTACTTTTCCAATAAAAGAAACAAATAATTAAAAAGAAGGGGTGATACTAGGACACCTTGCAACTAAGGAGGAAGGTTCTGCAACCCCATCTGTGTGAGATGGGGTGGAAGCAGGAGCTGTTTGGGACAGTCTCATCCCATACCAGGGTGCTGGTTCGAATCCCAGCTACTCCACTTCAGAGTTTCCTCCTAATGGGCATCCTTGGAGGCAGTAGGTGATGATTCAAGTCCCTGCCACCCATGTGGGGAGACCTGGATAGAGTTCCTGGCTCATTGCTTCAGCGTGGCCCCATCCAGCAGTTATCTGGGGGAAACAAGTCAGTGGACTGAAGATATCAAGATATCTCTCTTTCTCTCTCTCTCTCTCTCTCTCTCTCTCTCTGTAACTCTGCCTCTCAAACAAGAAATAAATGATATATATTTTTAAAGTTAAACCCTGCCTCAACAAATGATGATGGAATAAAGCTGTGTTCTCCTGTCCTTGTGGCTAGAGCTTTCGTATGTCCACGCTGAAGAGAGTATGGTAGGTCTTTCTCCATCCCTGCCACTCAGCTGTGTTACAGTTGGCTCTCACAACCAAAGGGCCCAGATTTCCAGGACCACCCTGCTCCCTGTTTGCTTTGGATCCCCCTGGGAACACATCACGCCACCCGCCAAGGATGTAAGTCTTCAAGGTACACAAGCTTCACCTGTGGAGCATGTTAAGCTGCAGACTTTGATTCAGCAAGTCTGGAAGCCTGGCTGCAGAGCTTGCTTTCCTGACCAGTTTCCCGTCCAATGGTAGGTGCTGCAGCTGCTGAGAGCTAAGATGTAAGCCGCTCCTCTGTGAGCTTCTAGCAGACACAGCGTTGTTTCCACGAGACACGACATACCACAGACACTTGGGCAAGACAGAATGATTGGCTGAATAATTGGCAGTTAGCGAGCAATGTGCCCAGGCGTCCTGCAGGAGGGAAACCTGCCGCTCTGTTTACTGTGTACATCTTACATTTCTTTGAACTGGAACCCTGTTTTCAGAAACACCTATTACAATTTTACAGAAATAACATCTTGAGAAAGTCACTTTGGGAGACCCTGGCACAGGGCAGCAAAGGCGAAGGGGGTGCTCGATAGGCCCCGGAACTAGAAAGAACTCATCTGCCTATGGGAGGCTCAAACTCAGAATTCTATTTGGGTGTCTGGTTCAGCAATTAGAAGAAATCAGGACTTGCTGTACCCTGGAGGGTCTGCACACTCCCACAGGCGACACCTTTGAATCCTTTACCATCCGGGAGCTGTTGCCATGGCTGAACTGTTCAGTTTTTTTCCCCCTCTGCTCCTGGCAGTGCCCACCAGGCCTGTGACCCCCTTGAGGCACAGGAGCCTGAGTTGTTTGCCAATTAGGCTGATCCGGGGGGACTTATTCACTTGTCTTTGTTCCTAGGAAGCTGTCTGGAGCAGGTAACTAACTGGGGGAGGGCTCTGCTGCGGGTGAAAAGGTGGCGTACCCTTGGGGGAAGATGTTGCTCAGGTTAAGCCCAATAGTTTTTGTTTTTTCTTTTTGTTTTTTGTTTTGCTCCCAGAGAAGATTTCTTGGCTCCAAGATCTGCCTCTAGCTGTTTCTGGGTGACTCAACAAGCTGGGGACTGCGTCTTGCCCCTCCTCTATTGGGTGGCAGACTCAACTGCCTTCTCACATTCCCCCACCCGGGTGGCCCAAAACCCCTAAGAAGTGGGCTTCCCAGGACCAACCAGGGAGCCTCATGTGCCGTGTCCCTTGAACTAGAACATGGGTGCATATTTCCTCCTCTGCATTTTATGGGTCTTTGCATCCATTTTGGGTCTGGAGTGGAAGTCCTACTCCACATCCCGCTCCTTATGTCAGGGGACGGGGCTCCAAGGACACATGAGTAGGATGCTGCAGGGAGAAGAGGGACGGGCAGTCTCCATAAAACTACCATGTGAGATTTCTTAAAGAGAGATGAAATGAAAAGGGAGTTGATGAGAAAAGGAAACAGCGTAAGAGAAACTAAAAATGTAATCACTGAATGGAAATCCACCATTAATCCCTTGGCAAGATTAAAAGCACAAAATTGGCGCTGGAAAATATTCAATCAGGAGAGGTCAAGGTTGAGAAATCTCATCAAAAATGCAGAGAAGAAGATAAAGAAATTAAAAAGGCAGGAGGAAGGTTGACAGAGACCAGAGAACAAAGCGGCGCCAAGCCGACACTCAGCATTTCTTTTTTTTTTTTTTTTTATTGTGCCTTTACACTGTATTATGTTTACCAGTTTTATAGCCTGGGGATTCCCCCCACCCCTCCCATATCCCTACCCCCAGTATTCTCCACCTTGCTGCATAACCATAGTTCAATTCAGTGAGATCATTCTTTGCAAACAACATGCCTACCAAAAGGTTTCAGCGTCTTATTGTCCAATAGTTCAGTGGCCTCCTGAACCTTCTAGGTCTGAAGATAGTCTAACAATAAAGTTCCGTCGGTTAAAAGCCCCAACAAGGCCTCATATCAATATACAATTTAGGAAATAATTGACATAGTAATAGGTAAACAATATTTAACAATAAATGCAATTCCATTCTTTCGAAACATCTGGTTGAACAGCATCATGACACGTTCAAAAAATAACAACAACCAAACAATAAATTACAGGTTAAATCAAGGCAAACATGTTATCTAACTTTTGGATTCGCGCCAATTCCCTTAGCATTTTAGTTTCCAGTTGCCCATTTAGTACCACAAAGAACTGCAAATTTTGTTTTTTTTTAATACTGATAATTCCATGGAAAATAAACAAAACGTTCCTTATCCACTTCTATTGATGGGCATTCGTAGCCTTCCCCATGTTTTTGCAATACTGATTGTGCTGCATAACATAGATGCATGTGTTTGTCCGTATCAGTGTTTTTGATATATTCCTAGATTGCTATTGCTGTCATATGCTTGCAGATTCGATTGTTTGAGTGGTCTCCCAGACTGATATCCAAAAAGCTGTACCAATTTGCAGCTAGCTCCACCATCAGTGGATAGTTCCCTTTGCCCCTCAATCCTCGCCACAACTCGTTGTGTTCTTGTTTTAAGGCCAATCTACTAGGGTTAGTGGTACCTCATCGTTTTTTAATTTGGATTCTTTTCCCTTATTGCTTGACTGAAAACATATTTCATATGTTTGTTTTCCATTTGGACTTGTTCCTTTGTGATATTTTGCCCATTTCCTTTCCCATTCTTGAGTTGGCTTTGTTGTTTTGGTTTTTTTTTTTAGTTCTTAGTATCTCCTGAATTAGCCCCCTATCCCTATATCGTGTGCAAAGAACTTCTCCCACACGTGGGTTTCTTTTACTTTGTTGATTGTTCCCTTCTGTACAGAACTTCTTCATTTGATATTCCCCATTTTTTATTCTGTTTTCTCAACGCTATTGCTTTGTGTCCTTCTTAAAATTCGGAATCCCTTGCTCCCTACTCCTATCTTGCAGTGTATTTCCTACATATCTTTCAAGATTTAAGGTTTCCTATTAGGTTTGGTCTTTTATCCATGTAATTGGGATTCTATGATATAGATGTTGTCATCCTTTTTTTCTACAGGCATCACCATTGCCCAACAACATTTACTAAAGACCTCCCCTTCTTAGCTATCATTGTTCTTTTTCAAAGAATTAATTGGCGTAATTTGTGGGTCCCTTTTGTGCTTCTAATCTATTCCTTTGATCTTCCTTTCTGTCTTGTGCATACACGTTTTGATAACACTTGCTCTATAGTATGTCAGAGGTCCGGATTGTGATTCCCCCTCTAACCTCTTATTTTTTTCAGATTTCAGCTATTCGTGGTTTTTGTTTTCCAATGAACTTTTTTAATCATTTGTATCCATTCCTGAAAATTTTTGGGCAATTTGAAATGGAATTGCGTTGAAAAGTATATTGCTTGTTGAATATAACATTTTAATGATATTGATTTTGCCTTCCAGACACGGGATTTTTCCATCTTTTGAGGTCTTTTCATTTCCTTTTTTTAATAGTTTGTAGTTTTCTTCGAATAGTCTCCTACGCTTTTGGTTAATTATTCACAGAATACTTCTTACTTTTCTCCTGCAATTTTAATTATCCTGGTGTTAATCTTCTTCTTCCATCTTGTGTTATTTGCATACACTATGGGTGTTAAAGTTTTCGTTTGTTAATTTTGTACCCTGCCACTCTCCAAACTCTCGTATAATTTCTACATTTCTGTATTACTCCTTTTTTCCTATGTATCGTTTATGTCCATCGCATATTATGAAAGCTTGACTTCTTCGTTTCCTATACTATGCCTTTTGATTTCTTTTCTTGTCTTATGCCTCTCAGTACCTCTAGACTAAGTTGAATACATGTGAACAGCGTCACCCTTGTCTTTCCAGAATCTCAGGGAAGGGTCTTAGCTTTTCTCCCAATCGTATGATACTGGCGTTGGGTTTTTCATAAATTGCTTTAATTATGTTGTGGATTTTCCCATCTATGCCTACGACACTCAGCATTTCTGAGTGGGAGACCAGAGAGGCCATCCTGGCAGACATCAGAGGGTACCCGCCTGCTCCTGAGCACACAGCATGGTGTGGGCCAGGCAGTCAGACCTCTCCCTGACACCTCCCTGCAACGTTTGAAGAATAAGGAGTGTTCAAGTCCCTCAAGGAAAGGCACAGAATAAAGAAGGAACCTTCAAAGGAAGAGAAATCAGACTGGCTGCAGCCTGCTTTTTTTTTTTTTCCTTAATTTTAAGATTTATTTATTTGAAAAAGTAGAATGATGAGAGAGAGAGAAATGAAGTTATCCTTCATCTGTCAGCTTACTCGTCAGAGGACCACAATAGGCAGAGGATGGGCCAGGCCAAAGCCAGGAGCCAGCACTCCATCCTGGTCTCTCACACAGGTGGCAGGAACTCAAAATCTGCACCATCCTCTGCTGCTTCGCACGTACCTTGGTAGAGAGCTGGATCAGAAGTTGGTGTGGGCACTCAGGATGCCAGCATCCCCAAATGGTGGTTTAGGCCACGGTGCCACCACACCTGCCCTGGCTCCAACCTCTTGCTGCCCTTGAGCCTTCTGTAGGATGTCTGCATGTTCAGAAGAATAAAAAGTTAGGATTCAATCATTTGATGTCCAACCAAGCTACAAATAGTATTTGAAGTTCCAAGAAAGGGGCACCTGCTTAGCACCTGAAGTGCAGACGGAGTGACCAAATGTCTGTACATGCCTCCCTAGTCTTGAAGTAAAAACTAGAACAATTAGTTGCTTGTGTAGAAGCTTGAGAGGGGTTTTGAGTAAATAAAAAGGACAGCTTTTTCTTGCGCTGTTGTGAGAACACACCAAGTGTCTGTGTCTGTGTCTTTTTTTAATGTTATTTTTTTTTAAAGATTTATTTTATTTTATTTTATTTGTATTGGAAAGGCGGATATACAGAGAGGAGAGACAGAGAGGAAGATCTTCCACCCAATGATTCACTCCCCAAGTGAGCGCAACGGTCGATGCCATGCCAATCCGAAGCCAGGAGCCTCTTCCGGGTCTCCCACGCAGGTGCAGGGTCCCAAAGCTTTGGGCCGTCCTCGACTGCTTTCCCGGGCCACAGGCAGGGAGCTGGATGGGAAGCGGGGCTGCCAGGATTAGAACCTTAGAACCGGCACCCATATGGGATCCCGGGCGTGCAAAGCGAGGACCTTAACCACTGCACCACCGCGCTGGGCCCGTCTGTGTCTTTCTTTATCGCCGACTTCACGTACCCTTCCCGAGCTCTGAACTCGGCTAGAGCTGGACTCCGGCACAAAACAAGGCCTGGGGAACACATGATATGAAAGGACAGTGAGAACATGCAATTAAACAGAAAAATCGGGGAAATTGTAAAAATTGTACAGAACTTTAAAAGATGAAATATTTACCATGGGACCAATGCATTGGCTCGGCTGGCTAATCCTGCTTACATCCCATGGTGCCAGCACCCCATATGGGTACTGGCTTGTATCCCAGCTACTCCCCTTCCCACCCAGCTCCCTGCTTGTGGCCTGGGAAAGCAGTCAAGGATGACCCAAGTCCTTTGGACCCTGTACCAACTTGCGAGATCAGGAAGAAGCCCCTGGCTCCCAGCTTCGGATCAGCTCAGCTCTAGCTGTAGCAGCCATTTAGGGAATGAATCAGTGGATGGAAGATCTTCTCTTTATCTCTCCTCTGTAAATTTGCCTTTCAAATAAAAATAAATGAATCTTTTTTTAAAAGGTCACCAAAAAGTGGCAAAAAAAAGACTTGGGAAGTACTGATTTCCTTTGAACTAATATTCATTAAAAACATGGGTAGAGAAAAAAAATGAAAAGAGCCGCTTGTGAAATTTTAGACAGTGTTTATCATATGCAAATATACATATAAATGTATAATGTGTGGAATAGAATTACATAGCATGTGTGCTATATGTATGCACATATACATATAGCCTACAGATGATAGAACAAAAAGAGCTCATGGTTCACATACCAATCAGCAAACACGGGCAGAAGCAAGCAAGCACTCGGACGATTGTTACATGATGCATATAACACCAAATAAATCTTGCTACAGTGAATGCAAATAGGCTGAATTCTTTTACTTCCTGACAAAAATTCTTAGATTTTGCACTTCGCCCAAATAGACACATTCAAAGAAAGTGAAATAGCAATGCAAAGAGCAAATGAGAGCCAGCAATTCTATTCCTAGCAAAGGATATTCCTGAAAAGTGTGCATCATTTTAATTCCATCTTTCATAAACTTGGCCAAGCACCCTCACGGAGCAATATACAAAGCAACACAAGCAGAGACTTACATGTGTATGTCAGCATTGGCCACTGTGTTCTTCACAATGGCCTAAAGGTAGAAGTGGCCTAAATGCCTAAATGTCCATGTAGGGATAGTTGAATAGGATAGATGTGGTGTAAAAAGGGGACTTCAAAAAGTGAGTGGAAAATGAAAAGTTTATTTTGGTATCAAAAAAATTGAAATTCACCTGCTAGACTAGAGGTTTCCAGAAGGAGGGCTAGAAGGAGGGAGAATAAGGAGGGACTGCTTAAAGGTGTCAATGGTGATGCTTGCTCAACAGAGTGTCATTAACACCACTAAAATAAATATACACTTAAAAAACAATTAAAACCTGGGGCTGGTGTGATAGCTTAACTGGCTAATTCTCTATTTACAAGCACCAGCATCTCACATGGGTGGTAGTTTGTGCCCTGGCTGTTTCACTTTCCATCCAGCTTCCTGCTTGTGGCCTGGGAATACAGTTGAGGATGGCCCAAAGCCTTGGAATTCTGTACCCATGTGGGAGACCAGGAAGAAGCTTCTGGCTCCTGGCTTCAGATTAGCTCAGCTCCAGTTGTGTGGACATTTGGCGAGTGAACCATCAGATATAAGATCTTTCTCTTTGTCTTTCCTTTTTTCTGTAAATCTGCCTTTCCAATAAAAAATAAATTCTAAAAGATGGTTAAAGTGATACAATAAACATTAAAAAATAGATGCGAGTAAGTTATATACCAAGATACATGTAAACATAAAGAAAGCAGAAAGGGGAAGGTGTTGTGGAATGATAGAGTTACCGCCACTTAGGATATCTGCATCCCACAGCAGAGCACCAGTTTAAGTCCTGGCTGCTTCACTTCCAATCCGTCTTCTTGTTAATGAACTCAGGAAGGCAGCAGATGCTGGCCCAGGCTATGGGGTCCCTGCTATCCATGGGGGAGACCTGGTGAAGCTGCTGGCTTCAGTCCAGCCCAGCCCTGGCTGTTATGGATACTTGGACAGTAGCCAGTAGCTGACAGATCTCTGTCTCTGTCTTTCAAATAGATACTTAAAACTAAAGGAAAAAAGAAAAGAAAAATTAGGATAAAGACATGTAAGATTTTTTAATGAGAAAAGAATGCATTAGAAATGGAAAAAAAAAAAAACTGGTTAGAATGGATAATACAAGAAAATACAAATTGGCCAAATGTGCCCAAAGCATATTAGATCTCAAGAAATTGAGAAAGTTATTAAAGAACTGCATTCAGAAGTGTAATTGGGTTTTATGGACGGATTATTTTAAATCCTTAGGAAATAGGTAACTTTTTGGAAGAAGTCCTGAAATGCTTACAAGTGTATTTTTGAAACTAGCCCAACTTTATACCAAAAACTAGAATCCAGTTTCAGTTGTGACATGAATGGAGTGGGTCTTTTCTGATTGCCTTGGAGTGAGAAATGGGGGCCCAAAGCCAGAGAGCTGTAGCCCCTGGATTAGTTGGGATTCTCCAGAGAAACAGAATCAATTAGATGGGGATGGAGGAAGGGAGAGAGAGAGAGCAAGAGTAAGAAAGAGAGAGAGAGAGACAGAGATTTTAAGGGATTGGCTCCAAGGCTTTTGGAGGCTGGGCAAGCCCAAGTCTGGCAGGCAGAGTTGCAGTGCTGGGTACCCCCTGGCTGTCTGCTGTCAGGCTTGGCACTCAGGGCACAGTCTCCAGAACAGTCACACCTTCTGATTATACCAGGACCCTCCCATCATCATCGATTTTACCACAAGTACACTGACTTAAATGTAAATCTCATTCCAAAAAGACACTCCTGTTTTTTGGAATCTACAGCATTTGGCCAGATATCTGGTTACTATGGGCCAGCCCAAGTTGGCTAGTGTTAACCAAAAATGAAACTAATCATCAAAGCCACTTGGTAACGCAAACCAGAAAGGATGAGAGGTCTGGGCACCCATTTCTGGGTTGACCAAGAGCTTTCTGAATGGAATCCCAGCCCCTTCCCACACCCCCATCTGCACCTTCGGCCAGGGCACTAGG